ATTAATCACTATCTTACAAGAATCCCAGCAATGTAAATTATATTCTCTCAGGTCATTTCACTAGCATTTTAGAATGAGAGAAGCTTAGTCACTTAAGGACTGTGAAATAAACACACATGAGACCTTGGCGCCAACTGTCAAACATATCACCTCACCTCCTGCTCGCTCCCCTCCCTCCTTCCCTCCTAGCTAGGGTTTTAGGCTTACAGTTTTTATCTTATATAATATCTCAGACTAAAGTTAGGAGAATATAATTTTCATTGCTGGAATCCTTGCAAGACAGCGAATAATTTGAATATAAATGTCATATATTTTGCACAAGAGATAAAAATTAATCACCTGTATCACATTACAGTAGTGATTTAAGAATAAGAGTGTATATGTATCGCATAGGGTATGCTATAACGAACGTAATTGGTTCCAGAACCTCGTTCGTTATAGCATTCGTTCGTTATAGGATTAATCCGTTCCAGGCCCCCAAATACAACCACTTAACACTGAAAAAATTCTGTGGAAAATGTAAAAAATACGGTACTTTATCTTACCTTAGTGTTATTCAGCATGCAGGTACCCCTAAACACTGGCACAGCACTATCACTTCCACTGGGAGTCTTGGCTTTAAGGTCCTCAAACAATTGTTTAGCCTTCTCACAAATTATAGCTTCACTAATGTTACCACCTGCCATTTCTTTCTCCTTTATCCACACTAAGAGTAAATTTTCCATCTCTTCAATCACATTACACCTTGCTTTGCTAAGTCTAAAGATTCCCTTAGCCACTTGCACTGTTTTTAACTCCCCTTTATTCTTCAAAATCGTACATATAGTCGATTTAGCCATCCCATATTCATCACTAAGTTTCGCAATGCTTCTTCCATTCTCACGTTTCTTTATAATTTCTTTCTTAGTTTCAAGGGTTATTAGCTTTCTCACTCGCTTTGGACGATTCATTGTTACAATTGTATACTTGTACAACAAAATAGTTATACAAATAACGCGAATTTCCACATTAAAAGACGAAATTTCAACAATAACAGTGGTGCACTGGCTACACAATGAGACAAAGATGGCGCCTGACGCTCTTGTTGTGGGTCGCGGTACAACAATATTCATGCGCCAGGCGAAATAGTCCCGTATTCATCCGCGTTCGTTGTAGGAGTTGCGTTCGTTATAGCATTCTCAATTTTATAGGTAAAACCGTTCGTTATAGGAATATTCGTAGTAGGATCCGTTCGTTATAGCATACCCCACTGTATATAGTATTCCACATACACGTAAGTATAAATACAAAGTTCACAATGTGATGTTCGGACAACGTCCAAGTCGGTTAACGTCATGTTTCCAAGAACGTATCTAGGACGTTAAGCTACGCATGACTGTAATTACATATCGCAATTTAGTATATAGCAAACATCCTTGGACCCTATCTTGTCATATATCACGACCCTACCGTACAATTGGGTTTTAAGAGTATGTATGAGTATCCATAGTATGCAACCTTGATTAACTATACAAGTCTGACCCCCTGAACTGCCCTTATGCTTGGGTCTCGCTCTTGCGTGAGTCAACCAACCCAGCATCTGTCGCTAGCTCAGCTTTTTTATGATTTATCCAAGCTCATTTGAGGAAAAAATAATTTTAACACTAATGTGGCTTAGAAATAAAGAAAATATGAAACCATAAAATAAGAAAAGTGAAGAGTACGGGTGTGTTTTGTGTGGGAAGTGGAGGCAGTGGGCTGTAACGTGATGCCGACTCACCATTCCCTCCACGCTCCCTCCCCGAGTGATTGCCCGGCTGAGCGGCTGAACTGTCACATAGCTTGGAGGATAGTTTGAGTGTGGAAGGAGCAAGTCTTTGTACATAAAATAATATACACCCAACCTCTCATTTTACGAGGGGGTTACATTCTTGAAAGCCACCGCTTAATTAAAAAATGCGTAAATTAAACATAATTTTCCCATACGAATACATGTAAATGGCAGGTTAGGGGAACCATCATATACCGCACAGGGTACGAACAGTGCTCTCACTTAAACCAAACAAGCGGCCAACCTCCGACACGCTCTCCTCTCTGATGGCGAGTGATCACATTTAATTTCACGTCCAATGTGATTGTTTTTTGTGTCGTTTTAGCTTTAGGCTTCCCAGAGGAGGCAGATGGACATTTTCCAGACATGCTCAATGGGGGAAACAGTGTTTAACACTATAAAGGTACGTGATAAACACACAATGCAAATGAGAGCACAGAAAAAAGTAGCGCTGGTGTGAACTGAGAAAGCGATACATGGGAAGCTTGCTGGACGTCGTCACAGTTGTTGTACAGAATACTTCATTATCATCATTATCTTCATCATTAGTAGTAATAATCTTTATTATTACATTATTATAATAATTAATATTATTATTATTAATAATATTAAATTCGTTGATGTTGATATGACCGCAAATTTATAGTAATAACTTACAGGCACCTCACCAGGCATCACACGTGACTCCAGTGCCAGGCGACCAGGCGAATATCCTCAATTGCGACCACGTGTATGCTTATCACTGATTGATCAGGGTTATCTCGGAATTATTCTGGGACAGCGGGGGGTGTGCTAGAGCCAGCCATAGCAGAAACTGCCAAGAGATGGCAGCACGGCTCATGGCTCCAGCTTCCAGCAATAACATTTGTTTCCTCATGCTGTTTGGTTGATGTGTGAAGTCAGTTTCCTGCTCCGTGCTTGTTTTCGGTGCACTTATTGTAAATTTTAATAACCCTCCACCATGGCACCTGTGAAAAAGATGAAGACGTGTGTGTTCTCTGTTTGATTGTTCCGATGTTCCTGACAAGGATAAGCATGCACTTGGCAACAGACCCATTGTATGTTACCACTTCCTTCCACTCCACCTCTCTAATAACCCCCACCCTTCTGCTTTGTCTCTCCATAATTTAAATTTATATAACGTAATGTGAAAGGAATAAGACGTTGTTCATTTATACTTACACTCAGTTTTGTGGGTAGACATCAGCTGGTCAGTTGTGTCTAGCAATGCTGCAGCCATTGTTACCAAACAACCAATTGATGCATCATCTCACCACTTACCACAGTCTCACCCTCCACCACCAGCTCCATGATTACCACCACTACCTCTATTATCACTGCCAAAATCATAATTTCAGTGATGGCTTTGCCTTAGCCAGAGCAGATTAGCACAATATCCACTGCCTCCCACCTGCTTCCCACCTTCCTTCCTCCTTCCCACCCACTGCATCTCACTGACACTCTGCCTCTCTCATTCATTGCACTATGAGTCATTCATGATACAATATTGTACAGTACAGTAAGTCCTCGATTAACGTCGCTCCCGACAACGTTGTTTCGTTAAAACTTCGCTACTCTTTAGATACCCATGTTTCGGACAACGTCCCGCCGATCCGGTATAACATTGTCACGGGCTACTTTGTACGGCGCATCACCCTCTCTCATCTTGGCGCACTATGTTCCCTCACGGAGCGTCATAGCGTCCCCAGTTTTTATTAGGCTTCCACAGCGTTCATGCGTGTTTAAGTGTTTTTGCTCTAAATACTGTACAGTACTGTAACCATTCGAAATGGCTTCCAAGCGCCCATCTAGTGTTAGTGATGCTAGTGTTGTGAAGAAGCAACGTAAGACCATAAGCTTCCTCCTCTCCCGCCCTCCTCCGTTCCACTACCCACCATACACTCGCTCCACCTCCGCCCATCAGTGAGTACAATACAAAATGATTTAGTTTGTTTATATCTTTGGATGTATAATACAGTATATACTATTTTCAATAAAAATTCCATTGAATTTATGTACAGTTTATGTAATGTATTTTGTGGGGCAAAGGGAGGCTGGGGAACATAACTCCCGTATTTTATCTATTTCTTATGGGGAAAATTGATTCCGTTAACGTTGTTTCTGTTAACGTCGCGGTTTTCAGGAACCGAAACACGACGTTAAGCGAGGACTTACTGTACTGTACATTGTTTACTTTTTATTAATTAATCAGGAAAGATATGTTACTAGTATTATATCTTAGTGTACCTACACATTTTGGGGGGTATATTTTGGTTATTTAGGTGATGTATCTTTGGAATCGTGGGATGAAACTAATTTTTCCCAAATGTTATGTGTTTCAATATGTACGGTTTTGCTTATCACGGTAGTTTTCTGGAACCTAACCCCCGCGACTATTAAGAATACATGTACTATGGCTGATTGACTATTAGTGAGAGTCTGTGGAACTTGTCTCCCACTGTATACAGTGAACCCTCACTTTACGCGGTTAATTCAACCCACGGCGGCCCGCGTAAAGTGAACAACATAACATATGGGATTAATTGAAGTAGAGACCGGGCCGACCCCCAAACTCCACTTTTTCAGACACAATACCTACATTTTAGTAAAAATAACTTCTTAATTTTATGATGGTATGCACACACAATTAATAATTAAGAGAAATATGAGTAATATTAGGTTTTTTAACACTTACATTAGTAGAAAAGATGGCTGGGCACACGGGGATGGGGGGTTGGTTCCGAGGCAGAGGGCAGATTATTGGCCCTCACCTGTATCACTTGTATCAATTGTATCACTATCCACCACAGAGGCTTGCAGGGCCTCTTTGTCAAACCCCTCAAAGTCTATATCCTCACTATCATTATCACTATCACTGACTTGGGCCGGCTGTGGTGGGTGGCGGGTGAAGAACTCGGTAATGTTTTGATGACTGGGCGACCTTGTGCGCACCCTGCTCGCGCCGCTCTCCGCGTAAAAGGGTACACACACCGCGGAAAGTGAGCATTCCGGTTTCGGCAGGGTACCGCGTAAACGTGGAAACGTGTAAAGTGGGACCACGTAAAGCGAGGGTTGACTGTAATGTATAGTTTTACATCAGGAAATGCTTGTGGTGTTTGATTTATTGAGAGTTATATTGTTTAAATATTAATGATGCAGTATTCATTTGATTTGTGTCATTCTCCTAAAGGAATGTCCATTGGCTCTTGAAGCTGTCCAGGAGCTTCTCAGCCTTGGAGTTCGAGGAGCTGAAGTAGCATCACTTATGATCAACATCCATGGTAACTCAGCTGGGACAGAGTGGTCAGTACAGGCTAATATTATTTCTTTGTTTTTTCTTTCATAAGTATGTTTTATTTTAAGAATGATAACCTATCTCTTTTACTATAATAGACTTTGTATATAATAACAGCTAACCTTTACCCCAGTACAGGGGGTCCTCACTATACATTGCACCAGTATATGTCATTTCACATATACTGTATGTCACTAACAAATAAAGGAAGAAATTTTCATTATGCTGTACGTGAATTGTTTCACAAATATCTTATTTGCATCATCCACTGTTTTATACTAAGTCTGTTTGTACCCAAATATGGTGCATAAATAATGTTAAAATTACCTACAGTAAGATCCCTCTTGTTCTGGCATAGGGGGGTTATGTGGGGCAGTAGTTGAGAGTCGTCAGTTCCTGCATGTATGTTGTTTTGACCAATCCCCAGTGTATTATTGTAGCCTCTAAAGCAAGTACTGTACAGTAAAAGCAATACAGCGCCACTGAGGACCATGGGGAGAAAAAGAATAGTGCTCAGAACTCTACCAGTTGAAGGTAGAATGAAGGTATGAGACAGAATTGATGCTGGGGTCACCATGAATGTTATCTGTGAGGATTTAGGGCTGAAGTGGAGTACTTATTATGGTATCAGCTTGATTCAAGTGTACAGTATACTAAATATAAGTGTAAACTAAATTTAAGTGTACAGTAAAGCCTCTGCTAGTGTGTGTGTGTGTGTGTGTGTGTATATATATATATATATATATATATATATATATATATATATATATATATATATATATATATATATATATATATATATATATATATATACACACACGACACTTACGACGGGGTTAGGGACCCAAATCCAGGTCGTAAGTCCGACATAGATAAAAAAAAAAAAAATTAATAAAAAAAAATCTACAATGAAATACAGTACAGTAAAAGTAATGAATAATGATGAATGGATACAGTACAGTGAAAGTAATAAATAATAAGGAATGGATACAGTGTGACTGAGCACTTAACCTTTAATGTAGTCAGCTGAATGCACATGGGGCCCCCATAATTTTCTAATTATACATGGAGACTACATTAACTGGAAACGTTTCGGTATAGAAAATGCGTGTGTCATTTAAAAAAATTTTTATCTATATCTGAGGCGGTCGTAAGTCCCGACGGTCGTAAGTCCACGTAGTCGTAAGTCGGGGTCTAGATATATATATATATATATATATATATATATATATATATATATATCTTGATAAAATCACACGGGAAAAGGGAAACAACGGAGCACCTTAGCTTTCGTCTTTATTCAAGACATCTTCAGAGGCAACTGGATTACATGGACAGAGAGAGGCTTAAATATACAGGGTGACCTTAAAAACATGAGGTCAGGTCATAATGATGTCATCCACTAATCCCCACACCAACACACACGTAGAGGAGCTTAAGAGAAGGGGGGTGACGTGACTAGTCAGGTCAGGTCAAAAATAAGGGACCCACTAAATAACTATCATACATCTAGATCAAAGGTTTTCAAAGCATTTTTAACCTTGGGCCACTGGCAAATAAATTTATGTAACATATTACCAGTTTTGAACTGACCATCACTAAGGTTTATTGATTTTAATTCCTTAATCAAACTAGCTTCAACCAGAAGTCTTTCTGTGACACAAGATGATTTAAATACTTCTAAGCTTTTTTTCCCAAGCAATGGGGTGATTATTATTCCTAACATGAATGAACAGGGCACTGCTTTCAGATGCTGTTCTGATATTATACTTATGTTGTTTGATTCTGAGCTGCAGTGTTTTTCCTGTCTGTCCTACATAATTACAATTACATTTGCTACATGGAATACAATAAACACTTCCATTTACATTCAAACTTGGGCTATTTCTTATTAACATATTGGTAATGGTTGAGTCATACTTGAAAACAACATTAATATTTAGAAGCTTGAGGGACCGAACTAACGGGACAAATTCATTACGATAAGGTAGAGTCAAAATATTCTTAAGTGTAGGAATTTGCCTGGTTTGAGAGGAATGAAAGGATTTCTTAGCCCTTTTAAAACAATGATCAACAAACACAGAAGGGTACCCGAGTTTCTGTGCAATGGAACGAATGTGTTTCAATTCATCGTCAATAAATTCAGAGTCACAAATACGCAGACATCTTAAGAGCATAGCAGAAAAAACTGACATTTTGGTAGACTCCAGGTGATTTGATAAAAAGTGTATGAAACTGTCTACCTGTGTGGGCTTTCTGTATACCTTGAATTTGTAGTTTTGGCCATTTCTCATGATAAGCATATCAAGGAATGGAAGGGATCCATTTATTTCTCTTTCAATTTTGAATGTGATACTTGGGACAATATCATTAAGCTTGTCTAAAAATTCCAATGGGTCACTGTTTCTAGGCCAAAGACAAAGAACATCATCTACATATCTATACCATGGAGGTATAAAGTCCACTATATTGGGTAGTAATCTAGACTCAAAAAACTCCATATAAATACAGGTTAGAGGAGCAGAAAGACAATTACCCATGCTCATGCCAAATATTTGCTTGTAGAACTTCCCATTTGCTCTAAACACATTGTCAGTTACGCATAACTCTATCAATTTGAGGAAAGTATCATGTTCAATAGTTAAATCTAACAGTTGTAATTTATCTTTAAGAAATGAAAGTAGGTCTTTCACAGGTACTCTAGTGAACAGTGAATTTACATCAAAACTTATTAATTCGCAAGGTTCATTGTGTTTCTTGAGTTTATCAGTTAAATCACTGCTATTGTGTATATGTGAATTAGATATTTGGCCTGTAAGAGGGGATAGCATCTTTACCAGTCACTTGGATAATTTGTAAGTAACAGAACCCACAGAACTCACGATAGGACGTAATGGATTGTTAAGCTTGTGTGTTTTGATCAATCCATACATATAAGGTAAAGTGGGATTGATTTGAGAGAGCTGTTTGATGAGATCGGGGTTCTTTTTCAATAACTTCTTCATTTTGAAATTAGATAACTTATTAATATTTTCCAGGGGATCTTTCGTAAGCTCACAATACGTGCTTTCATCACTAAGTAATGAATTCATCTTATCATTGTAGTCACTTTTATCCAAAATAACAATAGCATTTAAAACTTTTAAAATTATTGAATAGTACAACCTTCTTATATTTACAAAACTGGTAAGGAATTTAAGCTGTAAAACCGATTACTGTATTGGCGGACTAATACTAAAGCTGGTGGGCAACCAAATGCAGGCGAAAACATGTTGGGAAAAATTCGTAAGGAATTCGTTAACTGAGGGTTTGCTCGTTAACTGAAGTTAAGAATCTTATGGAAGGTAATTCGTAAACCGAAATCTCGTTAACCGAGGCGCTCGTTAGCCGAGGGACCACTGTATATATGTTTTTTGTGTCGCATTACAGTATTTGTTTTTATCTTTCTAAACTTTTAGTATTATTTGGTGGCATATGACCAGCTGTTGTATTGTCAGGGATGCAGTTATCACAATCAATGATTTAATCTTAATGTGTGAAAGTGGAATGTGGATAATAAATAGGTTTAACTAATAAATAATACAGAATACTTTCAACATAAAAGGTAAAAATGTTGTGCAGTATAAATTTGTTTTTCTCTTCCCTCTGCAGGTTGTCTTTATGGGTTAAAGGTCATGCATACTTACATAGCCGAGATTATACGAATGCCATCAACTCCTTTAGACAACTTGAGGAAAATTCTGCCCTCAGTCGAAATGTTGATATTCTAGCAACCTTGGGTGAAACATATTATCTTGCTGGAGACCCCAAGAATTCTCTCACTGTACTTCAGAGGGTAAGTTAACCTGTCAAATTATGTATATTCTATTTTTTATAGCTTATGTACTTAAAATTTCAGATGCAAACTGTGAGAATACTGTTAAACCAGCTGACCGTGAAAGTGTTAACAACGGAATCAGCTTTACCAATATTTGATTGAACCTCTGGTATGAACTAGCAAACACTCAGGCACTAAATACAAGCACAGCAATGAAAGATGCTAACTGGTTTCGGTAGACTTGATGGCTAACCAGTCAAAAAATTTGATGGTTGGGAATACTGGTCAAGTGTAGAGTATATCTAACTTCTTATAAAAGCTCAGCGTTCTCAAACTAAAGCAGCTAACTTGTGGCCTTCTGCAGGTAAAGTGGTATTAATCTCCAATGAAGGTCACACAGTAAAGTGAGAATTAGGATGAGTTACCGAACTTTTCCTCAGAAATGATGGTAATTGTAAGGTCGAACCATTAAGAACCCAGACTGGCCTGATGACTCACCCCATAGTCAAATTATATCTGTTTTAATCCAGTACAGAAGAGTCCAAAGTTAGTCCCAATCTGATCACTCAATCAAGTGAAACGGATAATTGTCTGACGCCTTTGACCACTCAGGCTATATGAGAAAATTGGCTCAATTGACTTGTTAGCTGGCGACTCTTAAGGTGAATATTTATTTATACAGTGAACTTCTGATATAATGGACTAATTGGAGGAAAAGTCGGTCCGTTAAAGCCAAAAGTCCGTTATATCTGGATCCAGAATAATAACATGAACACTCACCACCACTAACACTCACGATCACCACCACCACCGCCAAGACTCGCCACCACAAACAACAATCACCCCTACACCCTACCATTTACAACCAACCAATACCACACATGTTACTAATGTGTAGAGCCGGTTGAGCTACTCTGTTTTCTCTGTAAGTGTGCAGGCCGCCACTCCGTCATCCCAGTTTGAATGCGTTCTCATCCTGTCAACACCAGTTGGTGATGTGAATGTTAGTAGTAGTGGTGAGTGTTGGTGGTGATTATGGTGATTGTTGGTGGTGTTAAGTGTTGGTGATGATTGTGAGTGGTGGCAGTGTAAGTGCCATCTCTCTTCAATTATAAGTGGTAGCTTCCTGGTCGAGTGGTTCCCAGGGTCCCCCCTCTCTCTCTCTGGTTCACGTAAGGTGACACGGTGGTCTGTGCACTTCCCACTTTCACTCTTTAATTCTAATCAAGTCAGTGACTTATAGAAGGAATTACTTATACTTCCAGATGTAAAACTTACACTATATTCTCTGATTAAGTACAGAAACTTCTGGGCTGACCCTCCAGGAGAGCTCTTAACTCTGCCATGGCCATTGACTGACTGACTAACTCAGAGCTATGCCTCAGTCTAACTTAACATTATGTGAAGTCCCAGGTGTTTCAAGTTTACTTACAGAAGTGTAAGTGGTGGCTCTTGCTCATATGTTTTTTTTTTGTTTTTTTGTTTTTTACGGGAATTAGCCCACCAGGGCACAGGTCAAACGACCCACAACGGAGCCTGGGGAGTAGGATTCTAGATGGCAAGTCCACCCATGTTTAAAAACCCTGGGTTATTAGTGGAGCACTCGGTGACATGGAGTCGGCAAACATCCAACGAAATATTGGCAATCCTATAAAAATGGGAGTAATATCTCTGTTAGCCGGAACATTTGGTGCAGAGGACTTCTTGGAATGAGAGATTTCCGGGTATGAGACGACTCTCAAAGCTGGAAAAAATCCCTCTTACCTGGAATTTCCCGGGTAACAGAAATATGTTCTTGGAAGTTCCAGAAATTTCCCATTACCGTATTTTTCGGCTTAAAAGAAGCACTTTTTATGACAAAAATATACCTCGAAAATTACCATGCGTCTTCCAGGATGCTAGTCGATGAGTTAAGCAGAGGTTTTTGAAATCAGCCCCTTACAAAGACTGTTACCTCATTCCAGTACTTAACAATTACAAGTATTCTCTATACAGTACTATAAAACTATTGATTTAACTAATATTGTTGATATATTGCGAAAAAAACAAATAATAAACCCTTGACCCTCGCTGCTGTGTGGTTTGTTTACTAATGGCAGTGGTGCGGCAGGGCCATCTATTGAGGAATTGCTAAAGGTTGTCTGCTGGTCTCAAATGCAGGAATGTTTGTTTCTTTATATGTAGGCTCTCATATTTGGACACCTATTTACAGTAGGCTCTCATATTTGGATACCCATTTAGACTATAAAAACCCCACAAAATTAAAATCTTCCAAATTTAAATACACATTCGTCATCCAAGTAAAAACACACACACACACACACAACAACATTGGCTGCCCTTATGTTTTCAACTTTATTACCACTGGTGAGTAGATATTTTTTTTAATTCAGAAACATTTATTAAAATATATATGAACAGTAAATAAGTTTTGCTTTCATATTCTTATGTAGAGTAATGATGATATGTTTACACATGTGCTCACTTACATACGTGATCTCACTTTTTTTTTACCCTTAATTGTTAGCTACTTCCATTGTTCCATTTATTAACATTAAATAACATTACTTAAAACAACCATATTAATTTTTCTACATTAATTTCAATATAGCTACAATGGAGGACTTATTTTCTTCAGTTTTATAATTATGTAGAACCAATCAGTCACTGGTTTTGCAAAAAACGAGTTGTTTTTTTACTTTTATTTTGTTTTTAAATAATGATTTTTTTTTTATATAAACGTTGATATACATGTTTACATTTGCTTACCTTCTACTGTTGGAAAATATTTCCCGTCATTGTCATACCGACAAAAACAAAAGAAAGAATGTAAACACTACAGCCCCTAAGGTGTGGAGGTGACCAGGTGTATAAAATGAGTGCTGTATTAAAGATTTCACCTTATACAGATTTTTTTTTAAATTGATGAAAATGACGACTGTTAAGCAGTTCTAAGTGATGATATTCAAAGAGGTGTGTGTCTAATGGTAGACCCTGCTGCTATGTGACCAAGTCCCAGGTTGATGATCTGACTTTCTGCAGGGTCTCAATTGTTTCTCTTACTTTGACAACACAACATACATACAGGTATATTGTTTCTCACTCTTGATATTTTTTTTTTATTTTTGTATTTCTTTTTTATTATTATTATTATTATTATTATTATTATTATTATTATTATTATTATTATTATTATGATTATTATTATTATTATTACATTTTTGCCCCCTAGGCCCCAACGTGGGTCAGTGACCTGTGCCCAGGTGGGCTAAAACCCGTAATTTTTTTTTTTTTTTTAGAATTTCATTTCCAAAATCAGGGTGCGTCTTCCACGATGCAGCGTCTTCCAAGCTGAAAAATACGGTACATCATCTCTCAAACCCGGAAAATATACCCCATCCTCGGAATTTTTCTGGAATTTCCGGAATGCCCCTGATTTTCATCTCTCCAACCCGAAAAAACTCCCTCATCCTCAGAATATTCCAGGTGTCGGGAAAATTTTCTTGGAATTTTCCGGAAAATGTGCCCCTCGGAAAATTGTTCCCAAAGTCGGAATTTTCCGGAAAATTCTGGAGAGTTCCAGGTTTGAGGGATTCTGGCTAACAGATATTTCTGTTAAGAAACTAGTAATGACCTGTTCATAGATATACAGTCGACCCTCGTTAAAACGGACTAATAGGGGGGGAAGGGTGTCCGTTTTAGCCGATTGTCCGAATTAACCGATTTAGGGGTTAATAATGCATAATATTGCATTATACAGCTATGTGTATGTTTATTTGAGTGCCCCGTCATAGGAGTCCGTTTTCTCTCACTTCAGGACGCCTGAGTAGTCCGTTTTCTCTTAATCTTAGAGTGCACCAGAGACTTTGTTATTTCTTAGTAGTGACACAGAATTTGAAATTGCAACCCCAATTACAACTGGGACAATCCCAGAACCAGAAATTTGATATGGACAGTTCAGATTTCGTCCGATTTATCCGAAATCCGGATTAAAAGGGTCCGAATTCGTGAGGGTCGACTGTACAGTACAGTACAGTATGGTCAGGATATATAGTGACTTTATATATAAAAAAAAATTATATCGCGGCTTCCAACATTATCGACATTTTCCTCTATATAGCGATAATTTTTTTTTATTTTGTGAGGGAAATCGGGTAGGAAATATTTCAAATTTATCACAACTACCAAAATAAATTTTTTTTTCCAATATACAGCCACTCCTCGACTTACGACGGGGTTAGGGACCCAAATCCAGGTCGTAAGTCGAAAATGCGAAGATAATATAGAAAATCTAAAATGGGTGTCTCTTTTTCTTCTCAGCACCACAAAACTCTCACTTTTAAGCATGCCAGCCATTTTAAAGTGAATTACAAACGAAAATTTTGTCAGTACACAGCACAATCACTAACATCGGGACTCGAAAATACGTAATTTGAACAATTTTTGGTACGACTGGGGCGGTCGTATGTCAGGTAGGTTGTAAGTCGAGGAGTGGCTGTACAGCGATAAATTTATTTACAGTAGACTCACAACTTACGTGGGGCTATGTTCCTGGGACCTCACATAAAGCCAAAAACTGTATAAAGTCAGAAACTCCTAAAAATCCCCTAAATTGACCCCAAAATACGAGTTGAAAAACTGTACAGAACTTAAATGTACTCTAAAAGACTAGAAAATTTATCTCTTGTGCAAAATATATGATGTCTATATTCAAGTTATTTGCCATCTTCCAAGGATTCCAGCAATGCAAATTATATTCTGCTAACTTTAGACGGTGACATTTTATAAGATAGAAACTTTAAACCTAAAACCACTTTCAATCTTGCCTGAAGTAGAGGGGAGGTGATGTATTATGACAGCTGGCCTAGCCCCCAGGTAAGGTTACCTAGTGGTATTTATTTATCTGTCATATAGCGGGAGTTTATGTTTTTCTCTTATAAAATGTCAATGAATTGACTTAAGAAAATATAATTAACATTGCTGGAATTCTTGTAAGATAGTGAATAATTTGAATATAAACATGCTATAGTTCTCAATAGACATAAAATCTTTAGTAATAATTTGGAACATTTTAGTACAAAGGACTAAAAATTTTATCTCGTGCAAAATATATAATGACTATATAGTATTCAAATTATTCACTGTCTTGCAAGGATTCCAGCAATGCAATTTATATTCTGCTAACTTTAGACTGTGCCATTTTATGTCAAGTTTAGTCACTTTTATTGGCCTCCAGACCCTAACCCTATTTTCCTCTTTTAGTGTACGTGTAGCGAATATCCTTGGACCCAATCTCGTGATATATCCCGACCCTACTGTAATATCTCAGTTAACCGGAATCCCTCAAACCCGGAAATCTCCGATAATCAGAATTGAAATTTGGTAGGAAAATCATTCCCAAAGCTGGAATTTTCCAAAAAATTCCTGCTTTAGGAACACATTTTCCAAGGTTGAAAATTGAGAGAATTTTCTGAAAATGTCTTGAATAAAGATGAAAATTAGACTATTTTTGGGGAGACCTGACCTGACTCAATGTCAGGTCGAGGTAGGGTGAGGGATTAGTGGTCTCATATTACTGACCTTGTGATGGAATGTCAGGTCACCCTTTCTTGGGTGGGGGATTAGTGGGTCTCATGACCTGAAGATGCCTTGAATAAACATGAAACCTAAAGTGTTTTTAGGGAGATTGTGATAAGTATAAGTATAAATGAGCAAAGTTGTATCCCTTCAACATTACATTACATAACATTTTAAAATATGGAGTGAGAAAGCAGAAAGGTGTAGGTAATTAGAGAGATGGAGTGGAAAGGAGTGTAACATGCACCAGTGTTGCCAAGCGATAAGCTCCTCAACAGCTGATCTTTTAATTCACGTCCATGCAGTCACACAACAAGACCCTCATGGGATGCTTGTTGTCTTAATTTCCAGTGTGTGTGTGTGTGTGTGTGCATGTGCGTGTGCATGTGCGTGTGTGCGTGCGTGTGCAAAATAAGGGATGTTTATTACACAAATTAATTGCTATCTTACAAGAAATCCAGCAATGCAAATTATATTCTCGTAAGTGAAGTCAATGACATTTTATACTGTTAATCTCTCTTTGTGAACTAGTAAGAGGTTGAAGGATCCATTGTGGGGTTAAAAGTGACTGTGTCCCCCCCCCCCTCCTCGTCTCGCTGTTTGTCTAAAGTATAGACTCATTCCTGATACGTACGATAGTATTTATTTGTTTTTCATTAATTAGTACAGGTACGTTACTGCAATCATCTGTGCTGATTAATACATGTACCCTTCATATACAATACAGAATAGTACTGTGTATATACATCATAAGTGAGTTATCACCGTACATTAAACTCTGTATTTGGGTCACTGATGCACAGTTGCTTGATATTGGTTAGAAGTCGTCTCTGGACGCGTAACCAGACCACCTAGTGTGCTCACTGCATCTCACACTCTGCCCTCCTATGCCTCGTCTGTTCACTGTCCTCACACACTGTCATCCTATAGCTAAAAAACCCACATCTGGCGATCACATCTCATTCTCTTATCGAGTAGCTAATGGACTTGTCACTGACTCTTCAAAATACAACCCTCATCTCTCTCTCTCTCTCTCCCTCTCCTTCTCTTCCTATTGCATCTCATGTCCCATAAGATGCAGTATAACTCCCCCTGTTGGTCGGTTATGACCAAGTTCATTCACATTCCGTCAGGTGAAATTCATGCCAGAGCACAGGGATGTGCTACCATTTCTGTGGTGGCCAGAAGGGAACATGCTATGCGCCCCTCTCTCCTACAGGATGACAGTACACCTCTTCGGCGGTGTTTGGAGTCCCTCTCGTGCCGCATGTGTTCTACAAAGGACCTTCCATGATCATAAAGACATATTCCATGCCGACGTAATGGACGCCCAACGGAACTTCTATGCGTACGATTTGCTCCTTTCATTGCAGTCCACTAATGGTGGGATAGGACCAGCTGAGCAGTTGCGATGTGTTCTGGCAGTGGGGTCTTCCGACACACTAAACAGGCTGAGTAACTGCAAGGATGTACTTGACTCCATACCTGTGGAGGAAAGTCACATGGGAGTGAAAGAGGTTGATCTGAAATACAAATACTCCCGTTGGAACGGGCACTCAGCGTAAAATGGGACTTAGAGCAAGATCAATTTGCTGTGGTCACCAGGTATATGGACACTCGTCGTCAAATCTAACTTGTCCCTTAACATGTTCATACATAGGTTTACATGTTTGCAGTTGAAGAACATATGAATGTGTGTGTATAGATATATTATATGTGAGTATGCTGCAGGTAGGTGGTTGTTGTTTTGTTTTTGTTTTACTCGTTGCTCCCTCCAAGTAGACATATCTTGTTCACAGGCCATGTCAGACTCTTGCGTGCAGACATCTTCACCGTCACGTGTCTCACTACACCATCCTCCTTGGGTTTGCCTCCAATTATTCCGTCGACAAACAAAAGCACTGCTTCGGCACCCTGTCAATCACTCTACGCCCTTTGGGAACTCAAACTTCTATCATAATCCTGCTAGATTAAGTTCTCTTCCTGAGTGTCCCGCTTCATTCTCATGGCCCTCGTGTACTATACTGTAAGTGCTGTAGTATGGATCAGTTCGACATAGTTCTTGTCTAGTAATAGATGCATCTCTTCTGTATAACGTCGGTGAAGATGAGGATATTGGTAGTTGGTAACGTCCGGCCACCTGTATCACTTCGTTAGACCACAGCTCCAATACACTCTTGTCTTCCACTGATACAGCATCACCCTTCCTCAAGCCACTCGTATCCAACTCCCAAAACTGTCTCACTTGTACTTCCAATCGCGTCAATCGTGTTTCTCTTGGGTCACGGTTGGCCATTGCAAAGCAATATGCCCTGTACCATACGGGTCCATTGATGGTTCAACCAAATGGTGTCCTTACTGTAAAGGGCTGGAACTTACATTATCTGTTAAAAAGGCAGCAAGTGGACCAAGCAGGTGAAGACTTACCATGGATGTACAACTGCATGTGATAAGGCATGTAGAGATAGGTGAACGTGATGATAGTGGTCAGAGTTTGAAGCTGGCCACATTGACAGTTAGAACCATTCTGAAGATAAAGACTTTAGCACAATTGACCTCTTCATTAACTGCCACCCATTCGAGGAACATTTTACTGGAGAAGACGGAGAAATGCTCGAGTATGTGGATTGAAAATCTGTTGCGTACTGCATGTTGTCACTGTTTACTAATTTTATAGTTAGTACAGTATTATTATGAATAGATGCATTGTAAATTTATTTATTGACTGAAAGAAAAGAAGCAGTTGATGATGATAAATTGAGGTGGTAGACATTCACTAGCACCTGCAGCAACTAGTACATCATCTTCCTCAACTCTTTATCACAATCTCACTCATTGCCTCCATCTTCTTCATCATTGTATGTTGCCCCTTCTACTCCTTTCAATAATGGAGATGTAGTAAGATAACCTTTCTCTGCTTCCTACCGAGTCCCCGAGAGGCCTTCCCTCCACCACCACCTGGCTGGGACTGTGTCACTTCATCAGCTGATGGCTGGATGGATGGGTTATGTTAAAAGTTGTATTTAACTGTGTTACAACTTTCACACCCTCTTCTAGGACTCACGAGAGGATGTATAGTCAGCCCATAGGCCCAATATATCAGAGGAGACTCTGAAATAACAGCTTCTGTTAACAGACAAATTAAACACAGGCCCTTACCTTATTTCTGGCTAACAACCTCCTGACAGGTATTTATTTCATTACCTCTGTTCCCATTAAAACTGGTTTAATCAAAACACAGCTTTAAAATTACAACAAAATTTAATAAATGTCTGCTCTCCGTCCATGTGCATACAAAAGGCCACAAATCAATTCACTCAGAATAATGTTATCTCCACCAAATGCGGTGCTCTCTCACTTCTACAATACTCTTTAGACTATAATGAACATATTACACTTTAGTTAACACCATGATTGTCCAGATAATAATAGATAAATGTGCACCACACAAGCTTGGCCCTCCTATCCTCCTCAACTTAGCTCCCGAGTGCCGCCAAAACCAAAACAATGTTCCAATACTTTCTTGTTTCATCAACATATAATTTCTAATTCTTTTTATATTTCACACCTGCTTCTTACAGTCTTCCATAACTGTATAAAAAATAAGAATACATTTTACAAAGTTTACATAATGAAACAAATACTAGTTACATACTTATATAAAATAATCAAGACATTTTTTAAAGTCTTTACCATAAGCTTGGAATTTTGATTGTAAAGAAAAATGGGAAACAACAGAAACTACAAACAATAGGTAACTGAAACAACTATTGAGGGAAAGGGGAGATGACCTTAACAACTGATTGAATGAATAGTATAATAATGTGTTTACTTTTACCCAAATCAACACTAAATACATGTATTACTACTGTATGCTGTTCCTAGTTAGGTGTAACAAGTGTACTGATTCAGTATGTTAATTTTGTTATCCTCGACCATTTCTGGTCCCTGTCACTGGTGAATAACAAGGACCTGGGGTATTAATATTCTGTATTGTTTACTTATGCACTGTACTTTTTTTCAGGACCTTAGCTTATACAGTAGTTTGTAACATTTTTGTGGATACTCTATATCTTTATGGGTCTTGATAATCCAAAGAACTTGATATCCTAAACAAATTTGGTCCCAAGCAGTTCAAATTATACTGTAGAGTCCCTACTGTTGTAGTTTGACAGTCCATTATGAGTTGACAGCTATTGTGGCAAAAATTATGATATTCTTATCTATTACTTATAATATTTTTTTTTTTATAGGCACATTCAGTCAATCATCTAAATCTTCGGGGTTCAGACTTGTTAGCATGTTTGTTGGCAGCAGATAAGAGAAATCGAGAACTAGAAGAGCTAGCCATGGCAACAACAGCTGTAACCGATGCAGCACCTCAACCGTGGATCACGATGGGGTATTATTGTCAACTCAGTAAACGGACCACCAAAGCCATCTATTTTGCACACAAGGTAAAAGAGAGCTTGCCATACTATATTGTTTACAATATTATTAAGTACTGTACAGTATATGTAGTAAATTCAGAAGTTAAGGGAACTGTTGTCTTTTTTGATGGGAAGAGGACTTTCTTTTTGTATGAAAGGAAAAATGAATGCAATCGGCATGAGAAGTGGCGGTGAATTAACCAATTAACTATGGCATTTGGGAAATCATGGATATCCCACAAACGAAAAACAACCTGACATTAATCTTTTTTATTTTTCTTATGAAATTAAAGATAAAAAATTTTGAAGCCATAAAAATGGTCATAAAGTCCTGTGATATTCATTCCAGGAATACACTCGTAGGTTTCTCCAAATTAAATTTTAAATGCCCTTTCAATTTCAGAATCACAATAAACAATGTGTAAATATATGAAATATAATATTGAATATAGTATTACCCCGCTTTACATGGTTTCACTTTCCGTGATTTCTCATTTATGCGGTACCTTGCCAGAACCGGACTTTCACTTTCCGCGGTGCATCTACTCATATACGCGTGAAGTATAATTTTTTTTTTTATTTAGCTCATAAAATTCATACAAATTACCCGGCCAGAATATAATTTACATTGCTGGAATTCTTACAATATGATGATCATTCTGAATATAAACATCATGGATTTTGCATTAGACATACAAATTTTAGATCTAATGTAATAACTTGGTTTACACAAAGCAAATATTTTATCTTTTGTGCAAAATATATGAAGTTTACATTCAAAATATTCCCTGACCTGCAAGGAATCCAGAAATGCCAATTATATTATCCTAACTTTAGTCCGAGGTATTATTTATTACTAAAAGTTAAAATCTAGTATTTTCACCCAACATTTCTCTGATAGGGAGGGAAGGTGGGGGGTGGGGGGAGGGTTGGGACCGACAGACTGACCCAGCTGGCGAGAGTGTGAGGAGGGGGGGAGGCAAGGTGGGGTAGTTTGATTGACAGATAGTGTTGTGAAGAATATTTTTTTTTTTTTATTAACTGAAGATATTTGTTTTAGCTCATAAAATTCATACAAATTACTGGACCAGAATATAATTTACATTGCTGGAATTCTTACAATATGATGATCATTTTGAATATAAACATCATGGATTTTGCATTAGACATACAAATTTTAGATCTAATGTAATAATTTGGTTTACACAAAGCAAATATTTTATCTTTTGTGCAAAATTTATGGTTTACATTCAAATATTCCCTGACCTGCAAGGAATCCAGAAATGTCAATTATATTATCCTAACTATAGTCTGAGGTATTATTTATTACTAAACGTTAAAATCTAGTGTTTTCACCCAACATTTCTCAGAGAGGTAGGAGCTAGTGAGCTGGGAAGAGGGGGGGGGGGGATTTGAGTCCATTATTTGAATGGACATTAACCTGGTGACTGTATTTCTCTTAAATATTAATTGTGTGAGCATACCATCATAAATTTAGATGTTATTTTTACTACAACATAGGTATTGTGTCGGAAAAAGTGGAGTTTGGGGGTCGGGCCAGTCTCTATTGGAATTAATCCCATATGTTCTGTTGTTCACTTTACGCGGTTTTCACTTTCCGCGGTACCCTGTGGGTTCAATTGACCGCGTAAATCGGGGTACTACTGTATTTTATTGTTTGGGGGGAAAAGAGGGTAAATAGCCACACAAAAGCTATTTAAAGGTCACACTTGGGCACGCATCTCATTATTATTGCTTTATTTTAATGGTAATTAATGGTTCATGATACAATGATTCACCTTACACTGCAATATTGGAGGACAGTACTGTCGTTATTCGAGACTTTACTGTATTTACATTCAGGAAGCTTCCCTGTGGCCGAGTGTGTGGCATGACAGGCAAATAGTCACACTGGAACGTGATAATCCACACTGGGCATTTAAACAGTGGCAAGAAAAGGCGTGCGTTCCTGGAAAGTCACCCGGGGCTCGCTGGTCGGACGTTCTGGAATGTCACTCGGGGTGTAAGAGTTTCTTAAACTACGTACAGTCCCCAAAAAGCGAATTCCGATACAGTATATTGAAGTCCGATTTATCAAGGTTTTACAGTAATGTATTTACAATGCTAATGCAACAAACCCCACCGTTTTAACTCAGATAACAAGCTTGCTATGACTCATTATGTACAATATGGTGTAATCAAGTGCAGTGAGTTTAGTGACCGGCCAGACCCCGAGCGTCTCGTTGGAGAGCACCTCCTTAAACCAAGAGTGTTAAAGGAAAATGTAGGTAGATGGATAACTATGGAAAACTCACACAGTTTCCTGGCTAGCTTAAACATTCACATTTATAACTTTTGAGGTAAGACCCTGACAGCATATAAATATTTGTAGCACAATATCTTACATGTGATGGCTTCAGTGGAAGGGTTGATTATTAGATGTTTGCTGAGACTACTGTATACAGGCAATTTTGGGGTTACAGACAAATTTCATTCCTAAGAGTGTTCTTAAGTAAAAAATGTACTAAAGGCGAAGCATATACCCTATGTGCGTACTGTACTTAAAGAACAAATTTAAAAATCTCACTACACCAAAGCCTAAGTCCTTATAAAGATCTAGAATCACTTAACTGAAGAGAAAAGAAGAAATAGAATGACAAAATTCAGTAAATGAAAGTGAAAAATAAGTTACAGTGGGGTATGCTATAACGAATCTAATTGGTTCTAGAACCTCGTTTGTTATACCATTCGTTCGTTATAGGATTAATCCGTCCCAGGCCCCCAAATACAACCACTTAACACTGAAAATTTTCTGTGGAAAATGTAAAAAATACGGTACTTTATCTTACCTTAGTGTTGTTCAGCATGCAGGACAGGAGGCAGAGGGGGAGAGGGGAGGAGAGAATTATGGAGAAGAGGTGGAAGGAGAGGAATCATCCTTCCTAGCCCTCTTTGGTGACTGTCTTACAGGCACTTTGTCTGTAGGGTCTTTTGCTACTTTTTTAAAGAAGGAATCCAGGGTTGGCTGCTTCAACCTTGATTTCTGGTCTGTCCAAACACACTGATGGCCTTTTGCACAGAACCAACATCAGGATGATAATCCTCAGCAAGCTTAGAAAGTTTGCTCCAGCAAATGAATGCATCCTTGAGATCTTTGGCTGGAATGATGCGGCTTTCCTCCTTGTCCTCATCCTCCCCTGACTCCTCAGAAGTTAAGCTCCGCTTCAGTGTCTCATTTTCTTCTTTGTGAAGCTCAAGCAGCTCCTCAGTGGACAGCTCCTTACTGTGCTCTTCCACCAACTCCTCAACATCATCATCATCCACTTCCAGGCCCATGGAATTGCCCAGAGACACAATGTAATGTACAACAGCCTCTTTCTCTAACTCTTCGAAGCCTTCAAAGTCTCTTTGAAGCACACATTCAGGCCACAATGGCCTCCAAGCAGCACAAAGACACCTCATAGTAACCTCTTTCCAGGCTGACGCAATTAAAAACATAGCGTCTGCTATATTGAAGTGATTCTTCCAAAATTCCTTCAAACTAACATCACTGGAAGAAGTGGACGCAAAACATTTTCTAAACAGTGCCTTTGTGTACAGCTTCTTAAAGTTAGAAATTACCTGTTGATCCATGGGCTGGATGAGAGGTGTTGTGTTGGGCGGCAAGAAGTGCACAGTGATGAAATTGAACTCCTCTGGCAATTCAACCATCAAATTAGGAGGGTGGGCTGGTGCATTGTCCATCACCAACAAAGCTTTCAGTGGAAGATTATTGTCCCTGAGGTATTCCCGAACACTGGGTCCAAACACCTCAATCACCCACTCAGAGAATAAACTCCTGGTCATCCAAGCCTTTGGGTTTGACCGCCACATAACACCAAGGCGGTTCTTCCTAATGTTTTTGGAAGCTCTGGGGTTTTCTGCATGGTACGCAAGGAGTGGCTTTATTTTGCAGTCACCAGAAGCATTAGCACAAAGAAGGAGGGTAAGCCTGTCTTTTATTGGCTTATGGCCAGGGACAGAAGTTTCCTCCCTGGTAATGTATGTACGGCGAGGCATTTTTTTCCAAAAAAGTCCAGTTTCATTACAGTTGAATACCTGCTGAGAAACAAAGCCTCCCTCTTTAATCACATTCAAAAATGTCTCATGGTGTTCCTTAGCTGCTTCCTTATCTGCACTAGCAGCATCACCATGTCTCACAACACTATGTAATTTATTTCTCCTTCTGAAACCAATAAACCACCCCTTGGTACCCTTAAACACTGGCACATCACTATCACTTGCACTGGGAGTCTTGGCTTTAAGGTCCTCAAACAATTGTGTGGCCTTCTCACAAATTTTAGCTTCACTAATGCTATCGCCTGCCATTTCTTTCTCCTTTATCCACACTAAGAGTAAATTTTCCGTCTCCTCAATCATATTACACCTTGCTTTGCTAAGTCTAGAGATTCCCTTAGCCACTTGCACAGTTTTCAACTCCTCTTTATTCTTCAAAATCGTACATATAGTCGATTTAGCCATCCCATACTCATCACTAAGTTTCGCAATGCTTGTTCCATTCTCACGTTTCTTTATGATTTCTTTCTTAGTTTCAAGAGTTATGAGCTTTCTCACTCGCTTTGGACGATTCATTGTTACAATTGTACACTTGTATAACAAAATATTTATACAAATAACTCTATTTCCACATCAAAAGATGAAATTTCAACAATAACAGTGGTGCACTGGCTACACAGTGAGACAAAGATGGCGCCTGACGCTCTTGTTGTGGGTCGCAGTACAACAATATTCATGCGCCAGACGAAATAGTCTCGTATTCATCCGTGTTTGTTGTAGGAGTTGCGTTCGTTATAGCATTATCAATTTTATTGGTAAAACCGTTCGTTATAGGAATATTCGTAGTAGGATCCATTTGTTATAGCATACCCCACTGTATCAGGTAAAGTCACTCGGTAGTTATCAAATAGAGAGGTAATAATTCCTGGGAAGATATTGGAAGCATAATGTCATAATGTGTTGTCTGATGTGTCTGGGTGGGCTGATCCCCATAAAAAAAAATATAAATAAATAAAATTTAACTTTATGGGACCTTGTTCATATTGGCAAATGTTCTTAAGTCGGACTTAGCGTAACCTGGGACCCCCATATTGTTAATTTTGCACAAACATCTGTGTTGACGGTGATTTGTGGCACATTTTATTTCAGGCTTGTTCTATCAACCCACGTAGTGTTGAAGGTCTTCTCCTGAAAGGCACACTGCTCCTAGAACTGAAGAAATTACAAGAAGCTGTTATGCATTTCAGAGAAGCTATGCAGATTGCACCTCATCGTTTTGAACCACACAAAGTAAGTATTTTATATGAGGTTTGATAATTTTACATATTTTTAGAGACTAGGAATGATGAAATGAGTGTCCTGTGAGATCCCTGCTACTGAAACAGCCCATGGTTGAACCTGCTAGTAAATATAGGGCTCTGACATGTTTAATAGCATGGCACATTGTCCAAGTGGACAGTGCTTTATGTTGTAAAGCAGTCCTTGACCCCCCTGAAGCCAGGTTAAGTCATTGCTGTGAACACTTAAGCGAGTGGTTGCTTGGAAAGCCACTGGGGTTCTAGGAACAGGTAGACTTGGATAATTCTCTGAATGTGTCTTGTTGGCAGTTAGGACAATTTTGAACAATGCAGACATGATAAAAGTTTGTGTTCAGACTACCACTCCATTAAATAAATACTTTTATACTGTAACAATGTATCTACAAGTAGTTAAGTGTAATGACTTTAGGAACATATTCTCATATCTACAGTGATATAGCAACCCCTTTTAAAGCTGATTCAGCTAGCACTCTCCTCCAGAAACACATCCTGAGCACAAAGTGGGGTATTACTGTATATATATTTATTAATTCATTATAACACATTACACACACACTTTATCTTATAACATCCATAGTTGCCTTAATAAAAGTGAAAAGAAAGTAAAAAGAACAAAGACAAATGCATCACAGGGTGTGTAGTAGCAGTCAGCTGAGTGAGTCATTGTTAATGTGTTACTTGCTAGTGTGCTGATAACACCCTCTGGGACTCTGATGCCATATCATGGTTGTGAAGGAAAGTTGTGTATAATGACTTTAGTCTTAATATGCAGTCAAAGGGTTAAGGTCATTCCTGGATATGTTCTGGTCATTCTTTGTTAAACCTCTTCCCCTTCTCATTCGTCCCTTAAGCTGGTTCATGTGTTCTTGATCTTGTAGTGGAGGTAACTCATTGTGGGATGTCTCTATTTTCATAGTCTATTGAAGATTTTAGAATTACTTGCAATTCACAAACTAATTTAATCAACACTATTAGCCTATAAACCATTGGTCTAAGTATGAAGTTTCTAGGACCTGTATCTTGAGAACAGTACTCACATAGCCTGGTCCTTAACATTTCTTCATGTATGTTACTGAAGTCAGTCCCTTGAAAGGGTGCTTGGACATTGGTAAAGTTGTTCATTTTCCTCTACCTAGATGAGACAATTGCACATTTCGATTGCTTGGTTTTTGGAGCTTTTAAGGTTAGTATAAGAGCCTGAGTCATGCTGTTTCTTAAGAGTCTCATTGCCCCCATTTTCCTTACTGTACTAACTGGAAAGTGTATGACTCACCCAATTCATGTTTTAGTTATAGTTGAGATATTGGTTTTGAAATCCATTTTGTTACCTTGGACAGGAATTTGTAATTCTGTGTTGTCAGCAAGTGTGGTGATTAGCTCCAGATCACAGGACCCAAACTTGTAATTGGCATCTAAAAACTGAGTAAATTGATAATGATTTTATACTCCATTATACTTGCATCTTAATGATCATTTATTAACATGGATACAAAGCAGTCAGGTTTGAGCACCATTTATCCAGTGCCAACAATTAACCTTTAGTACTCTCGGATGGGTGGTCATAAGATCAGTCTCCAGCTCTCAGCTAGGGATGTGGTCTGATGGTCTCAGAATTGGCTTGCACAGTAATGAAAGCTGCCTGGCTGCAGACTTTGCTAGACAATAGGGATTCAGGGTTTCAGGAATGCTTTCAACCTAGTGTTTCTAAATCATTACTGATTCTCAAATCAGGTACTATAATTGAAACAGTGATTTCAACCTGGTTTTTGCTTCACAGTACTGTACAATACATTGCTCACTTAGGTAATGTATTTACCATTAAACAAAGCAGCGCCCTATGGGTAATGTTAGGTTCTGTCTGGGAGTATGTGTTAATATAGATCTAAATGGACTTGCACATTATTCCCCTCAGTTATAAACTTAGATTTCACTATTTGATATACCATATAATCATTTGTTGTAATGTGTATTTTTTTGTTAATGAGATATTATTTACTATCCAAATTTATTTTAATAGGGATTAGTAGATTGCTATCTTGCAATGCATCGATCCAGGGAAGCTGTAACAATAGCCAGCAATGCATGCAAGTTACTTGGCCAGACTCCAAGAGCTCTCACTGTAAGTCCATCTTCTTATTGTAATTTTTTAGTTCAGGAATAATGAAACTCAGTCATTTTTAGTTACTGATGATTACTTTCAATCTACAACATACTTCAAAGTAAGTAAGATTAGTTTTTACACAACATCCTAGCAGGCATAGAGTATCATGAGAGGCCCTTAGCAGTGTTAGTCCTTACATTCTTTACAATAAATTTGCATACTTACTCCCTCAATCCCACAAAATATCCATCTGTTTGATGTACTGTATATATAGATGCCTTGTGTTACTCTCACATGGTCAAAAATAGCACTAAAATACATTGGTTTGTGTACCTAAAAGGACCATGTTCAATGCTCATTCGTCCTACAAGGCCGCAAGTCTCGCCCCACCGCACTGCATCCCTTTAACTCACATAGCAGCCAATGAGAGGCACACGTCACCCACCACACCTCCCATCTGAGCCAATGATGCAGCGAGTAGACCCGCTTCAGCCAATGGGCGCGCATCTGGGGCACATGGGCTGCGTTGCATGACACTCATACACAAAACTTGTACAGTAGCACGTTAATTTAAAGCAATTCAATTTAAGATTATTGATTTAAAGCAACAACCACAATTAAGGACAATGTTTTAATTTAAAGTGAATCTTTCCTATTTTGCACGAGTCAGTCTGGCGCTCATATTTAAAATTCGTGCGTAATGTTTCTCTGGGCACGCTACACTGTCCTAAGGGCAAAGCTGTACTGTACATGTACTCAAAATAATGTACTAAATGATTACTAAATTTTTGTCTAGTGCAAACTATAGCATGATTATATTCAAATTATCACTATCTTATAAGAATTCCACCAATGTACAGTAAATTATATTCTCCCCGGTCACTTCTGTGACATTTTATAAGAAAAAAACAAAACCTCAATCTAAAGGACATAAATAAACAAATAAATACTTCACTAGACCTTTGGCGCCAACTGTCAAACATGTCACCTCCACTTCCTCCCTCCCTCCCTACCTCCCTCTCCCCCATCTTCCCAGCCAGAGTTTGGTGGTTATTGGTTAAGTATTTATCTTAGATAATATCATAGACTAAAGTTAGGAGAATATAATTTGCATTTCTGGAATCCTTTCAAGACAGCGAATAATTTGATTATAAATGTCATATATTTTGCACACGAGATAAAATTTTTAGCCTTTTGTAATAAAATTAATTAGAACTAAAATTTGTATGTCTAATGCAAACTATAGCATGTATATATTGAAACTAATCACTATCTTATAAGAATTCCAGCAATGTTAATTATATTCTCCCAGGTCAGTTGAGTGACATTTTATAAGAGAAAAATTTAAAGTCACTCTGGACAGATAAATAAATAAACACTAGACCTTGGCATCAACTGTCAAACATATAACCCCCATCTTCCCATCAGCTCATCGCTAGTAAACAGACCATTTCACGTCCCATAATTTTAGCTGTGTTGATTTATGAGTTTGTTTTAACATATTACTACAAAAAACAATGTTTTGTTTATTCTAGGAGATGGGCTGAGGTGCATCTTGGGTAGACTCAAAGTGTTTTTAGTATTTTGTGTTTCTCTCAAGTACCAAACTAAATTATTCCATTGAAAAAACACTTGGATATAGTGCGAATTCGGGTTAAAGCGACCTCTCTTGGAATGTATGTCGTGTTATATTGACGTTCTACTGTACAGTGAACCCTCACTTTATGCGGTCAATTGAACCCACGGCGGCCCGCGTAAAGTGAGAAACGCGTAAAGTGAACAACATAATATGGGATTAATTGAAATAGAGACCGGGCCGACCCCCAAACTCCACTTTTTCAGACACAATATCTACGTTGTAGTAGAAATAACTTCTTAAGTTTATGATGGTATGCACACACAATTAATAATTAAGAGAAATATCAATAATATTCGGTTTTTTAACACTTACATTAGTAGAAAAGATGGCTGGGCACACTGGGATGGGGGCTTGGTTCCGAGGCAGAGGGCAGATTATTGGCCCTCTCCTGTATCACTTGTACCAATTGTATCACTATCCACCACAGAGGCTTGCAGGGCCTCTTTGTCAAACCCCTCAAAGTCCATATAAGTCCATATCCTCACTATAATTATCACTATCACTGACTTGGGCCGGCTGTGGTGGGTGGCGGGTGAAGAACTTGTTAATGTTTTGATGACTGGGCGACCTTGTGCGCACCCTGCTCGCGCCGCTTACACAACATGGCGGGAGAGATGGCGGGAGGTTTGGATCCAAAAATGACACGGCTCGCCAGCCGCTCTCCGCGTAAAGGGGTACACGCACTGCGGAATGTGAGCATTCCGGTTTCGGCTGGGTACCGCGTAAACGTGAATACAGTGGTCCCTCGGTTAACGAGCACAATCCGTTCCAGCAGGTTGCTCGTTAACCGAAAAACTCGTTAACCTAAACCATTGTTTCAATGCGTTTTTGGGTCATTGGTTCCAGCTCACCGAAAATTGCCTAAATTCAGCAAAAAAGGTAGAAAAATACACTTACACTTACTTTGTGTGTATGTAGAAGGCTCCTGGATGATGATGATGATGATGGGAATTAGAATGGGGGTGGAGGAGAAGGGAGAAGAGAAGGCATTGGGGTGGAAGAGAAATCACCCCATGGCACCATTTCACCCATAAAATTTTAGTTCTCTTGGTGTAATTCAAGATTATTTTCTTTAAATCAACACTGCACTGCATTATATATTGTCAATATGTAAAATAAATTTCAAAATGACAAATAATTTGCTTGGAAACACAGAAAAAAAGCGTTTAGTTGAAGAGCGTCTCAAGCAAGATGTTACCTCCACTGAAAACAGAGAGAAACTAACGCCTGTCTGGTGTGTTAACCGGCTGGATGGCATGCCAGAAACTAGTTTCTTTACCTTCAATTATGTTCAATAATTGTTAAAATGACTAAAAAAGTTAATATTAAACTTTTAAAATTATTGAATAGTATAAACTTCTTGATATTTACTAAAATAGTAAGGAATTTAAGCCCTAAAACCGATTACTGTATTGGCGGACTAATACTACAGCTGGTGGACCGCCAAATGCACGCGAAAACACGTTGAAGTCGGCTCGTAAAAAACTCGTTAATCGAGGGATTGCTCCTTAACCGAAATTAAGAATCTTATGGAAGGTAAATCGTTAACCGAGGCGCTCGTTAACCTAGGGATCACTGTAAACATTTCCTGCTTCTGCGGGAGTTAGCCCTCGGTGGTGGGAGGAGGACAGGGGAGCATGCTCATGTCTCCCGTGTATTTAATGTAATGATTGTAAACATTGCCACCCACTGCATTGAGTCTAGCAAGTTTTAACAAGCACCAACTGACCATGTGGTTAATAGTGTACAGTTATCCAATGCTGGATCTCACTGAGTGAGTCTGCTAATTACTGTATACCAAACAAAATGATGTCTGTTATTGGGAATCTGGTACTGCAGTATTGAGAAATGTTTACTGTATACTGTATTTTTGGTTGTTCATGAAAAATTTACTTTTTTCTCATTTGTTCTTCACACTGATAGTACAGTACAGTACAGTTTGTATATGCCTTTCCCAAGATGTGTTGTTCAATTGCCCTTGTCGTAACATAAGTTTACTGTATATTTAGTGTAAATAAAATGTCATATTAAACATAGTGCATAAGTGTGCCCTTTGCTTGTATGCGAGTAACAAGTTAGGCTTATAATTTTATCCTTGATAGGTGACACTATTGAATCATTTTCAATACAGATACATGTATTTTTTTCTGTCAAGGAGGTACAGTCGGAAACCAGAGACTCCCCACCTGGGCACGTGGAGGCCCACGGTAACTCTCACGGGGCAACATATGCACGAACACAAGATACAGAGCACGATGAACATAACATGATAATGATAGTGAAGCCTGGAAGGGTTCATATCATAACTTGTGTGTTCGTGCATATGTTGCCCCGTGAGAGTTACCGTGGGCCTCCACGTGCCCAGGTGGGATGGTCAAAGTATTACACTATAAGTGTGTCAAATGAGGAGTGACTGATCCACATGTAATTTAAGGTATTTGAAATATGTAGTTAAATTAAACAGGATTTTTCATATAGTTAAGCGAATGATGGGGTGTGGTGGAAGCTTCGTGGTCTGGCACACACACACAAGTGCCGTAAATGTTGTGTGGACTCACTGGGTGGTTTGGAAGTGTTTATTTCCATTCAGACTTTCGTACTACAACCTATGGTAATTTTTCTTTGTGTTCATATATAATGAAGATAATGCAGAGTATAAAATGCCATATACAATATTTATACATAATATCATCTATACAGCCGTACTATGACTGTGTGTGTTCGTGTGTGTGTTGCCTCGTGATTATTAGAGTGGGCCCCCGTCCAGAAAGGACACTGTAATAACCTCCAGCACTGACCCAGGTGGGCTAGAGAATATGGTTTCCGAGTGTACATTAAACACTGTATTCGGTATAAGAAGTTACTATAAAAGCCTTTTTTTTTTTTTTTTACATATTCCCAAAGCATTTTATTTGTTTTCTCAGTAAATGAATGTTCCTATTTTTCAGTTATATGCTTCTGTTCTACTGAAAGATACCTTAACAGTTAGTAAAGGTAAAAGTTTACTGGAAAAGGCTTTGAAGGAAGACCCATACCACCTTCCCGCTGTCTACCTGCTGTGTGAACTTTATGAACAGGTCAGTAAAGTTTTTATAGTTTTAATAATGCACAAGTGTAGATCTTTGGTTTCTTGCTGCCTTCAAATATCCTACTGTTCATTGAGTAGATTTTGCAAGCAACAGATATTGTGTATGTACAGTGGGGTATGCTATAACAAACGGATCGTACTACGAATATTCGTATAACGAACGGTTTTGCCTATAAAATTGAGAATGCTATAACGAACGCAACTCCTACAATGAACGCGGATGAATACGGGACTATTTCGCCTGGCGCATAAATATTGTTGTACCGCGACCCACAACAAGAGCGTCAGGTGCCATCTTTGTCTCATTGTGTAGCCAGTGCACCACTGTTATTGTTGAAATTTTGTCTTTTGATGTGGAAATAGAGTTATTTGTATAAATATTTTGTTATACAAGTGTACAATTGTAACAATGAATCGTCCAAAGCGAGTGAGAAAGCTCATAACTCTTGAAACTAAGAAAGAAATCATAAAGAAACGTGAGGATGGAACAAGCATTGCGAAACTTAGTGATGAGTATGGGATGGCTAAATCGACTATATGTATGATTTTAAAGAATAAAGAGGAGTTGAAAACTGTGCAAGTGGCTAAGGGAATCTCTAGACTTAGCAAAGCAAGGTGTAATGTGATTGAGGAGACGGAAAATTTACTCTTAGTGTGGATAAAGGAGAAAGAAATGGCAGGTGATCGCATTAGTGAAGCTATAATTTGTGAGAAGGCCAGACAATTGTTTGAGGACCTTAAAGCCAAGACTCCCAGTGCAAGTGATAGTGATGTGCCAGTGTTTAGGGGTACCAAGGGGTGGTTTACTGGTTTCAGAAGGAGAAATAAATTACATAGTGTTGTGAGACATGGTGATGCTGCTAGTGCAGATAAGGAAGCAGCTAAGGAACACCATGACATTTTTTTGAATGTGATTAAAGAGGGAAGCTTTGTTTCTCAGCTGGTATTCAACTGTGATGAAACTGGACTTTTTTTGAAAAAAATGCCTCGCCGTACATACTGTACATTACCAACGAGGAAACTTCTGTCCCTGGCCATAAGCCAATGAAAGACAGGCTTACCCTCCTTCTTTGTGCTAATGCTTCTGGTGACTGCAAAATAAAGCCACTCCTTGTGTACCATGCAGAAAACCCCAGAGCTTCCAAAAACATTAGGAAGAACCACCTTGGTGTTATGTGGCGGTCAAACCCAAAGGCTTGGGTGACCAGGAGTTTATTCTCTGAGTGGGTGATTGAGGTGTTTGGACCCAGTGTTTGGGAATACCTCAGGGAGAATAATCTTCCACTGAAAGCTTTGTTGGTGATGGACAATGCACCAGCCCACCCTCCTAATTTGATGGTTGAATTACCAGAGGAGTTCAACTTCATCACTGTGCACTTCTTGCCACCCAACACAACGCCTCTCATCCAGCCCATGGATCAACAGGTAATTTCTAACTTTAAGAAGCTGTACACAAAGGCACTGTTTAGAAAATGTTTTGCGTCCACTTCTTCCAGTGATGTTAGTTTGAAGGAATTTTGGAAGAATCACTTCAATATAGCAGACGCTGTGTTTTTAATTGCGTCAGCCTGGAAAGAGGTTACTATGAGGTGTCTTTGTGCTGCTTGGAGGCCATTGTGGCCTGAATGTGTGCTTCAAAGAGACTTTGAAGGCTTCGAAGAGTTAGAGGAAGAGGCTGTTGTACATGAAATTGTGTCTCTGGGCAATTCCATGGGCCTGGAAGTGGATGATGATGATGTTGAGGAGTTGGTGGAAGAGCACAGTAAGGAGCTGTCCACTGAGGAGCTGCTTGAGCTTCACAAAGAAGAAAATGAGACACTGAAGCGGAGCTTAACTTCTGAGGAGTCAGGGGAGGATGAGGACAAGGAGGAAAGCCGCATCATTCTTGCCAAAGATCTCAAGGATGCGATCATTTGCTGGAGCAAACTGTCTAAGCTTGTTGAGGATTATCATCCTGATGTTGGTTCTGTGCAAAAGGCCATCAGTGTGTTTAATGACAATGTTATGAACTACTTTTGGAAGGTTCAGAAATCAAGGTTGAAGCAGCCAACCCTGGATTCCTTCTTTAAAAAAGTAACAAAAGACCCTACAGACAAAGTGCCTGTGAGACAGTCACCAAAGAGGGCTAGGAAGGATGACTCCTCGCCTTCCACCTCTTCTCCATAATTCTCTCCTCCCCCCTCTTCCCCCCTCCTCCCCCCTCCCCCTCTGCCTCCTGTCCTGCATGCTGAACAACACTAAGGTAAGATAAAGTACCGTGTTTTTTACATTTTCCACAGAATTTTTTCAGTGTTAAGTGGTTGTATTTGGGGGCCTGGAACGGATTAATCCTATAACGAACGAATGCTATAACGAACGAGGTTCTAGAACCAATTAGATTCGTTATAGCATACCCCACTGTATAGAATCTTTTGTATTGTTAGTTTATAGTGTACAGGCATGTTTTAAGATTTAAATTAGAAATAGTTGATGATAAACTTTGTATGGGTTGTTTTAACTATGTATTAGTTCTTTAATGGAGTTCATTTTTCTGAAGGATATGCGTTATGAAGCTGCGATAGAGTTATTAAGAAAACAAGTTGCAGTTCAATCTACTAGCCGTCTTCATCAAATGCTTGCAGACTTTTTCTCACATGTTCATGATGAAGAAAAGGCTGCTCATCATTTTGGGATTGCACTTAAGTAAGTACAGTTTAGTCTTAAACTAGGTGAAAAAGTTTTATGCAAGGTGTGGATAATAAGAAAGTACAGTATTTGATTACTAGAACTAACATACATATTAGCATTACATTAACGGCTGCTATTTTAATAGATTGAAAGTGATTTTGCATCTAAAATGCATTTAATGAAACCAAATCTTCATTGTTCTTCAAATTGAACTGTTTAGAGTACAAACTCATAAGCTATTGCTTAAGCTAATGACTCATGAAAAAAAAATTAAATACTGTACAGAGTGCGTGCATGTGTGTGTGTTTGTGTGTCATTACCACACCTAATTTAATTCATTTGTGTATATTTACACTTCTTACGTGGTTGTTATTATATTATAAAATTGGTCAAAAAGAGTGTAGATGGACATGTTGGCTAGCTAATGTAGAGTGGTAGATGGTCAGTTGTCTAATGGCCATGAGATTTTATTACAATTGTATTTTATAAATTAATTGTATGTGTTTTGTGTTATTAAAAAATATTGCTTGAAGAATACTGCATAAAAAGAACTATTGAATAAACCCAAATTAGTAAGGGTTCACTCTATAGCTTTACCACAGTCTCAATATTTATGAGCCTTGACTTATGTTTTGCCATCAGCCATGAACCTAGTAATACTCGAGCACTGGAAGGGATGCAGAAGATGGAGGCTGCACCTGACACAGTTGAAGCTCCTCCATATGATATGGAGGTGGAAGATATTGCTGATTCAGAGGTAAAGTGTTGATTGTATTGGGCATTCATAGTTTTACCTCTTTGAGTTGATTAATTCAATGATGGTAAAACATTGAGGATCACATACCAGCTTACTACTGTACTGTACAGTATGAGGGTGAAATACTGTATACATGGAGTCCCTGGCTTGTGAACGCCCGCCGATACAAACAGGGTTAAACTTTAAATTTACAGTATTTTATTTACCTGATGACCCATTTTATTACTATCATTTCCTGTATTTTGTCATTATATATTTTTATCTCTTAAATAAAGCAATTTTAGATGTTTATAAGGACTCAGGCTATGATATAGAGGGAATTTAAACACTACAGTATGCCCCCCAGGTTCGTGGATTTATACTTTGCGGTTCTCTTTTATTCACGGATGACACCCTGGATGTACCCAAGAATGTCTGCAGGTAGTTTTAAAGTTGCCGGCATTTTCGCGGCCAGGACGGGGAGCGCAAGGTGTCTCTCTTGTCCCGGGAAGCTGGCCCACGTGCGCCACGCTCCATCGCGCCTCAGTCCGGCCTAAACATTTGTTTGTCTCGCGTGTGTGCTAGTCTCCTCTTATAACACTTGTGCTGCTCGTGTTTATTATGGTTCCCAAACGCCCTCAACCACCTTTATCCAGCTGCGGGAAGGCACCTAATCAAGTGAAGAGAGAAGAGAAGGTCATGATCCTAGAGGAGAAAGTACAATTGCTAGACAAACTTAGGAGTGGCCAAAGCTTTGCCGCATGTGGCCAGCAGTATGGCATTAACGAATCAACTGTCCATTAAATTAAGAAGAAAGAGAAGGAAATTCGTAATGCAGCTGCCCAAAGTGCCCCATCCTCTGCCAAGGTCACTTCTAATGTGAGAGATACAGCTCTGGTAAAAATGGAGAAAGCCCTTAACATCTGGATTGAGGACCTTAACTGCCACTACATCCTTCTCAGCCAGAAGTTTATCTGTGAGAAAGCCAAGGTCCTGTATGACCGATTCCATGCTGAGGAAAGTGGTGAACATGAAGTGAGTGGTGACGGTGAAGTGAGTGGGGAAGGTGGTGCTAGTGCTGGTGGTTTTGGTGATACCCTAAAGAAAGGATTTAGTGCCTGTAAGGGCTGGTTTGAGCATTTCAAAAAGTGCTACAACCTGCACAACTTTAGGATCACTGGTGAGCCAGCCTCAGCAGATGATGTAGCAGCTAGGGAGTATCCTGTGATCTTTGCTGAGATTATCTGGGAGAAGGGCTGCAAGCCGGAGCAGGTTTTTAATGCTGATGAAACTGGCGTGTGGTGGAAGAAGGTGTCAGCCAGGACATTAATTTCCAAGGAGGAACGAAGTGCACCGGATTTCAAGGTGGCCAAAGATCGTGTGTCTCTCCTGCTATGTGGCAACGCTGCAGGGCACATGATCAAGCCCATGCTGCTGTACCATACCAAGCATCTGTGTGCACTCAAGAACAAAGACATGCATCTCCTCCCAGTTTTCTACCACCACAACAAGAAAGCCTGGATGGCGGCAGTGTTGTTTACCGACTGGTTCCACAATTGTTTTGTGAGGGAGGTCAAGAATTACCTGCAGGAGAAAGGCATGCAGTTTAAGGTCCTCCTCGTGATCGACAACTGCCATGGCCACCCCAAGGCCCTCAAGTTTGCAAACAAAAAGTCAAGGTGATCTTTCTGCCAAAAAACAAAACATCATTGCTCCAACTATATTTTTTAAATAATGTTTATGAATGCACCTTATACAATATAAATCAATAAAGAAAAAGGAGAGTGATAGTGGAACGGCAGTGTATACTTGCGCCCTCAAGGAAACCTCGTCATTTATCTTAAGAATATGTACTATCGTGCACAAAAGTCGTGTCTACTACCCATCCACAGTGAGGGTTCGAATAGCTTTGAGTCTGAGGTTTCGAAACAGTTGAGGGAAATGTTATGGTCGGCCAACAGATGTCGCCCACTGTAGTGTGTGTGGGGGGGGGGAAATAGAGGAGGTGGGGGCTGGATGAGAGGCAGGTTTATTTATTATTTATACCACCATAATGTCAAGCTGCCTTTTTAACTATGTTTTGTCTTACAGTTGTTTCATTATGGTTACGAATTCATGGAACAGGTGCACTGCCCTGGGTGCTTATATCCGCTCAGGTCACAATGATACTTTAAAGAATGGGATATAGTAAGGATAAAAATGAAATATGCAAGGATCAGGGTAAGCGTCTTGGTCAGCTAGTTTTACTCAGCGACCACGTCACAGTTTTGTTGTTATTCCGACAGAGAGATTATGGTAATACAGGTTGACAATCCCTTATCCGAAATCCTTGGGACCAGAGGTATTCGGATTTCGGAATTTTTCGGTTTTCAGAATGTTTTTTTTTTTTTTTATTATTATTAGCCCATCCGGGCACAAGTCACTGACCCACATTGGGGCCTGGGGGGCGAAAATATAATAATAATTATAATAATAATAATAATAATAATACAGGTAATAATAATAATTCATAGGTCTAGGTCATGTTACTCACTTTTTATCTTTTTTTCATTCTTGTATTTCATTATTATTATTATTATTATTATTATTATTATTATTATTATTATTATTATTATTATTATTATTTTATTAATACAGTATTATTGTTATCATTATTATTTTATTTTGGTGTATTTTTTAATTAAAATTTTTATTTACTATGAATAATTACAGGTATTATTATAATTATTATTATTATTATAATTAGTATTACTATTACATTTTTGCCCCCCAGGCCCCGATGTGGGTCAGTGATCTATGCCTGGGTGGGCTAATCCCTGTAAAAAAAAAAAAAAAAAAATGCTCCACAAAAAACTTTCGGTTTTAAGAGCTTTTCGGATAAATGGTTGTCAACCTGTATTTATTTATATTCCACCCATCTTTTGCTTAATAAATATTTGTGATAATATGCAATATTATATAATTATATACTTATGTTAAAAAGAGTGGAGTGAAAAAGTTATCAGTATTGTAAAATAGTATTCAGACTTAATCTAGTTCCAATTCTTCCAAGTTCCAGTGTTTAAACAACCCACCACAATATGCAAGCTTCATATAGTTTGGAGTGTGCTCAGTTACCGTTAATATTGTGTGATGAACATCATGAGCATTTCAATGATGGTAGCAATTGTAACTATATAATTATATTGTGTTATAAGACAACACATTCCACGACGTGTCATACAGATCATTGTATACAACACAATACATAATTTGTGGCTGTTAAGTTACTTTGTTATGCGATATAGTTTAAGACATCATTAAGGACATGGATTTAAGATAACACTGTAGGTGAGTTAATATATATTAATTGTATTTACAAACAATACTAAAATCCAAACAATACACCAATACACACATCTTAGTATTTGGTCCAGCCACCCATTGCATTCAGGACTTCATCAAGGCGATTAGGGATGGAGTCGACCAGCTTCAGGCACACCACTGGTCGTCGACGTATACTCTCCCACACGTCGTAAGCTTTGGCCTCTATTGCTGCTCCCCAATATCCCAATCACGTTTCATCATGGCCCAAATATGTTCAATCAGATTAATATCACATCCTAGTGTTGGCCAGTCGATGACCTCAATTTCAGGGTGATCCTGGAGGTAGTCCTTCACTATGTTGCTGGTATGAATGGGACTGTTGTCATGAACCAACCTGATAGTGTGGGGGGCTGGAACTGCCATAGCCCGGACTGTAGGAATTAGTACTTGCTCCAGGATGTCTACATACTGCTCACCAGTGAAACAGCCATTGATCTTGACCAGTTCACCTGGCCCATGTGCCCACATCCACCCCCAGAATGACACTGACACCCTACCACTCACTGTGCTATGTTGAATGTGTTTCTCATAGTAGCGTGTGTTGGGGGCCGCCAGTACTGCCTTGCTTCACCTCCCACTGACCTGAACACCGTTTCACCGGTAAATATACAGTGACCCCTCGTTTAACGAACGCCTCGGTTAACGAAATTTCGGTTAACGAACTGCCTTCCATAAGGATCTTCAATTCGGTTAACGAACAAAAATTCGGTTAACGAACAAAAATTCGGTTAACGAATTTCTTATGAACCGACCTCAACATGTTATCGCTTGCACTGACCGGGCAACCAGCTTTAGTATCAGTCCGCCAATACATTAATCGGTTCTAGGGCTTAAATTCCCTACTATTTTAGTAAATATCAAGAAGTTTATACTATTCAATAATTTTAAAAGTTTAATATTCAATTTTTTTGTCATTTTAACAATTATTGAACATAATTGAAGGTAAAGTGACTAGTTTAATGCACGGCATCCAGCCTCTTAACACAGCAAACAGGCGTTAGTCTCTCTCTGTTTTCACTGGAGGTAACATCTAGCTTGAGACTCTCTTCAACTAAACACTTTTTTTCTGTGTTTCCAAGCAAATTATTGGTCATTTTGAAATATATTTTACATATTGACAATATATAATGCAGTGCAGTGTTGATTTAAAGAAAATAATCTTGAATTACACCAAGAGAGCTAAAATTTTATGGGTGAAATGGCGCCATGGGGTGACTTCTCTTCCACCCTAATGCCTTCTCTTCTTCCTTCTCCTCCACCCCCATTCTAAATCCCATCATCATCATCATCATCATCCAGGAGCCTTCTACATACACACCTCAAAGTAAGTAAACTTTTCTACCATTTTTGTTGAATTTAGGAAATTTTCGGTGAGCTGGAACCAATTACCCAAAAACCCATTGAAACAATGGTTTCGGTTAATGAACTTTTCGGTTAACGAACTACCTTCTGGAACGGATTGAGTTCGTTAACCGAGGGGTCACTTTAATGGTTCTCCAGTATTCTTCCCCATATGGGAGGTGTTCCAATGCAAAGCCGAGTCGACACTCCTTGTGAGTAGGTGTTCGCCACCCTTTGTGAGCTGGAATATGGCAGTCGATCCCGGCTTCATGAAGTCGGCGTCTCGTCGTCATGTGATGGCAGTTGGGGCCCAG